CACTGAATACAAACCAGCTCTATGGTTTGATGAGTTTGGTGCATAGGAACTTGAGTGTCCTGCACAGAGTCCTGACCTCAACCCTACTGAACACTTTGGGATGACCTGGAATGCCAATTGGGAGCCAGGTCTTCTCATCCACCAGCAATGCATGACCTCACAAATCATTTTTGACTGCATGTGTACAGGGGCGGACTGACAACTCATGGGGCCCCCGGGCAATAGGGGATCATGGGGCCCCTGTGTCCTTGCCCAAACTCAAAAAAGCCTATGAAAAAGGTACCAGGGGCATCTCATGGGGCCCCCTACTGACCCCGGGCCCTCGGGCAGTGCCTGAGTTTCCAAATGGTCAGTCCGCCCCTGCATGGGTATATATTCCAGCAGGCACATCTTGTGAAAAGCCTTCTCAGAGGAGTGGAAGCTGTTATGGGAGCAAAGTGTAGGGGGAAGGTGGCGAAAATCTATATTAATGTCCATGATTGTGGAATGGGATGTTCCCCAAGCTCATGTAAATATAATGGTCAGGTGTAATATAAACCTTTACTAAAATCTGTTGCAGCTCTGCATAGAAACCAATCAGCTTCCAGGTTTTATTGTCAAAGCTAAATTGAACAAGCTGAGGTTAGAAGCTGATTGGCTCCCATGCACAGCTGCACCGGATTCTGAGTGCTCCAGTTTTCATAAATCTCCCCCAATGTGTAATTCAACTTGGCAATACGTTTAACTATATTTTAATTCAATGTTATATTTTAAAAGCCAAAAAAATTAACTTGATTTTAGCTGGTAAGATTAACTAATTTCAATGTTTTATTATTTTTATTTTTTTTTATTTTTAAATTTAAATTATTTATTTTTAATTGTTATCAAATTCAAAAACATCAGCCATTTTGCCCAGAAAAGAACATGGGTTAATGGCATTAGCTGAATACGTGTTCATACCCTTGTGGCCAACAATCAATTTCTTCACCTTGAAGTGAAAAGAGAAAAAAAAAAGCTCCAAAGGGGCTATTTATCTACATAGAAATGATTGTTCACACACAGCTTGGCGGATTCCTAATCACATGTAAATTATACAAAATAGAACTAGTTTATGCAGCTATAGAGGACCTCCCCCAGAACAGCAATTATATAAAAAGTCGACGTAAATAACATGCCGAGTAATGAACTTGTTATGATAACCAGTTGACAACGAACCTCATAATGCATCTGTTAAGTGAGAATATCAGGTAAAATCATTGTAAGCAACATCTTCTCAATTTCCTTATAATGGGGCAAATTACACACTAAAAATGGCAACAGACGCGACAGATACACAAACTGTGTGCATGATTAAATATCCAGGATGGCACAGTGTGTTTCTAGGTAATTAAAAATGACAAATAATTGACTTGTTGTAAAGTAGGGATTATTAAAAAGCTTACTGAAGAAAAGGGAAAAAAATCTATGCGACGTGAGTAAATCCTGCAGAACAAATATCACTTTTTATCTCTAAGATAGAAGATGTTTGATCGACTGGGAAATATAGCATTTGAAAGTTATTGTTGATTATTTTTCCAATGTGGGGTTTTGTAGTTTCTGTTTGAACTGTACATGCCAAGGTAAAGTCATTTTAATTGGGCAGCGGGAGCCTACCATAAAAGTTGCTAGGCATGATTAGAGAACCTGAATGATTTGGGCTTTGATTATTTATTTCCCAAATGGAACTCCAGGCAAACAGAGTAATACATGACTGAAACACATATAGTGTTTAACTGTTTTCTGTGCCCAAGAATTTGCTGTTCAGCCAAATGTGCAATTCACATGTCTCTACCACATTGCACAGCCATGTTGATGGCAAACCATTGGCATAGCTCTAGGGCTGGAACATGAGGAGACATTTCAAAGTCTCCAACCTGACCCAACATAAAAATAGAAAGAAAAGCCAACTCCTCTGTCAGTTTTCACAATAGAGTACTTCACAGGTAGGAACCCCGAGTGTGTTCCGCCCAAAAGTGGTCAGCTAACAGTTTTACGTGGGATTTTTGTAGATGTGAGACTTCTGCCTAATCTGGTTAATAATGGCCATGAATTGTCACAATGGGGCTGATTTACTCAAGCTGGAGAGTGCAAACTCTGGTGAAGCTATGCATTGTAGCCAATCAGCTTCTACCTTCAGCTTGTTCAATTAAGCGTTGACAAAAAAAAACTGGAAGCCAATTGGTCTCTATGAAGAAGTGCACCAAAGTTTGGTAAATCAACCCCAATATTTCTAAGAGTAGGTTAAAGACAACTTCTTGTTTAAAGATTGAAAGTTGAAGTTTATTCCAGGGAACCACCAAAACAGCAGTCCCTGACTAAGCCCTACTGGGTGAATCTCGTTAGTGCAGCTCAGTCCTTGGGAGTGGTTGTTCCATGGAATAAACTTGTACTATAGCAACATCATTGGTGTGCAGTGGCCTTTCATTCCTTCAGCATGTTTAAAGCATGGACGGCTCCATTCATCCCTGGCACTTGGCACTGAGGTGGCAGCAGGAAGGTTGAGCTTCAGAGCAGCAAAGAATGAATGATTCATGACAACTTCCTGTCTACTGAAATTGTCCTCTATAGACCTCTTCCCTTCCTCATAGTGGATTTCCTGTGAGTAAATACTTACCCACAGCCCCACACCCGAAATCTTCACTGTTTGGCGCTGACTGGTGTTGTACAGCCTTTTCCTCAAAACAGTTCTAGCCAGGTCCTCTGCCGCTGTGCATGTGTCTTCTGGTCCCCAATTATTTCTATAGATGTGCCCATTCTTGTATTTCACATGGAGCACAAAGACATCCAAGAGACTGTAATTAATAAGTAGCATGGTGCTTAACACCTGTATATAAAATGTAAAATATATAAATATAACTTCCTAATACACATACAGTAAATATATCAAACAAATGTGCACTAATACAATGGGGATGAAAAATCTGAATAAATAAACTTTTGTCATGTAAAAAGCACTCTTTACAATAGATATCTAAAAATATTACAATAAATCAGTGAAAAAATACAAACTTATAACTGCTAGTGAAATAACATAATATAAGTGTATCGACATCAACAAAATTAAGTACTTTGTGTGTATATTAACACCATCCAATCTGGTGTGCAAAAAACGGTTCGCAATATTTGCAGTAACCAATGATTATTCCACCATCTTTGTGTCCAAGCCCCCCCCCCCCCACACACACACACACATTCTCTACCCCACCATAGTACAGAAAAAATAAATAAATCCTGGAATATGTGAAATCCTTCATGATTTAAACAACTGAAAATATTACATATAATAGTGCTGAACTCAGCACCAGTAGAACACACAAACTCCCTCTCTTATCCATTGCATTTCATTACTTCTGGACATCTTCGGGAGCAGTCTTCCATGAAACGGGATGGCTGTGTGTGTGCAAAAGATGCAGAGGGCAGATGGAACAGTTTTGGATAAGAGGTTGCACGGTGCTGGGCAGGGTCGCACAGTGAAGATCTTAGGTGCAAGAGTGCAAATAAGCATTTTCCCACATAAAACCATCTACTATGGTAGTAATGTGTATTGTATGCCTGTTGTGATAGGATTCATTAAAACCCAGCTACAGGTTGGCTAATCACCCTTGTATCAGTGTGCTTTTCTACTGACCACTACTGTACTGGTTCACTTCTCTGCTGATCACCACTGTATCAAACCATTTCTGCACTCATCACCACTGTATCAAACCATTTCTGCACTCATCACCACTGTACCAAACCATTTCTCCACTCATCAACACTGTACCAAACCATTTCTCCACTCATCACCACTGTACCAAATAATTTCTCCACTCATCACCACTGTACCAAACCATTTCTCCACTCATCACCACTGTACCAAACCATTTCTCCACTCATCACCACTGTACCAAGCCATTTCTCCACTCATCACCACTGTACCAAACCATTTCTCCACTCATCACCACTGTACCAAATCATTTCTGCACTCATCACCACTGTACCAAACCATTTCTCCACTCATCACCACTGTACCAAACCATTTCTCCACTCATCACCACTGTACCAAATCATTTCTCCACTCATCACCACTGTATCAAACCATTTCTGCACTCATCACCACTGTACCAAATAATTCCTCTTCTGATTACCACTGTACCAGATCACTTCTTCTCTGACTACCAATAAAAAATATTTTTTTTCCATTTGTCATCACTCCTCTGATCACTTCTGTACCCAATTGCATTCTGCATTCCTCATTGATCTTCTGCATGCATCACTTTTCCACTGATCACCTCCAGAATGGTCCATTTCTCCACTGATTACCACCATACCCGATCTCCTAATCACTGACCACTGCTGTACCAGATTAACGTTTTCATTGGTCAACACTGTACCGGATTACTTCTCAACTGGTCATCATTGTACCAGCACCTTTTTCTATTGATCACCAATATAGCAGATCAATTTTCCGCTGACCACCATTGTACCCATACACTTCACTGATCATCACTGTACTGGCACACTTATCCACTGACTGCCACTGTTCTGATCAGCACTGTATCTGCAAACTTTTCTACTGATCACCACTACACCAGACCACCATTTCAATGACCACAATTGTAACATATCACTTCTCCATTGACCAGCACTGCACACCAGGGGCGGACTGACCATTTGGAAACTCGGGCAGTGCCCGAGGGCCTGGGGTCAGTAGGGGGCCCCGTGAGATGTCCCTGATACCTTTTTCATAGGCTTTTTTTTTCAATTTAGCTTTGACAATAAAACCAGGAAGCTGATTGGTTTCTATGCAGAGCTGCAACAGATTTTAGTAAAGGTTTATGTACACCTGACCATTATATTTACAGGAGCTTGGGGAACATCCCATTCCACAATCATGGACATTAATATAGATTTTCGCCACCTTCCCCCTACACTTTGCTCCCATAACAGCTTCCACTCCTCTGAGAAGGCTTTTCACAAGATGTGGCTGCTGGAATATATACCCATGCAGGGGCGGACTGACCATTTGGAAACTCAGGCACTGCCCGAGGGCCCGGGGTCAGTAGGGGGCCCCATGAGATGCCCCTGGTACCTTTTTCATAGGCTTTATTGAGTTTGGGCAAGGACACAGGGGCCCCATGAGCCCCTATTGCCCGGGGGCCCCATGAGTTGTCAGTCCACCCCTGCTGCACACTATCACTTCTTTATTGATTACCACTGTACTAGATCATTTTTCAATTTCTTGCCACTGTACGTGATCATTTCTTATTGACTGCCACCAGTGTATTACACTTCTTCACTGGCTGCCATTGTAACAGAACACCACATTCCACAAAGTGCTGCACTATGTACACTGTGTTATACATTACATCCCCCAGACTCCTGATCTCTGTACATTGTATTGTACATGCATAAAACTAAGACTTGTTTAATCAGAAATTTGGTATTTATTTTGACCAAAAAAGCACACTACTACACTGCTGGTATTATTTAAATGTTTGAGTAGCTCCAAGCTCTGGATGACTCGATTACATGGTGATGCAGCAACACCAGTCTCCACAATACTCTACTATGGTCTTTATTTCAGTAACCCAATCACAAGCAAAGTATGGGAGCTGCCATGATTGGCCACTTTCAAAAAAGGTCTTTATGCCTTTTTTACATGGTAGCTTCAAAAGCAACTCATGTAGCGAGGGATCAAGGAAACCCATTTTTAACTACAAGCAGTTATTGAGAATTATATTTTGAAATATTAAATTCATATTAGGCATTGCATCTTTTAGAGTATTTCCAGTTCATTTTATCGTGTGCCTGCAACTTTATCAGACATGTTGATATAACATTTGGGGAGGTTTTTTATTACTTTTACTTGGATTGCCCCTTTAACGCTGAGCAACAGGTAAACACCTAAATGAGCAGGTGAAATACACAAAGAGAGCTGTTCTACCAGTCCTAGATTTATATTCTATCTATCCAGTTCTGTGATTATAGATCTCTGCCACACACCACATATCTGCCTGGAGTTCAGCTTTAAGTGAGAATTTGGCACTCCAAAGGACCCTGTAATGGTTTTTTGCCGATGTGCCCAGTAATTTCTTGTTGTTCCACCCTTGTCTGCATGGGGTGGGCTGGTGTTCTAAAAATACAAATTAATGTTGCTGCTAGTCTAGTCCTTGCAATGTCTTTTAGATCCTTTAATACCAGGCATCTGATCATAGCTCATTTTCTAACTGGCCTCCATAAAATCGGGTCGCTGTCGAAGGAGAGTGTCTTCCAAGTGCCACTTTGATGACTCCGTTTATTACCGGCAGTCAAGTCTCTTGGATTACGCAGACTAAAAGCATTGTATCAGCAGCCACAAACGCCAAACATGCTAAGCCCACAAATATGTATAGCAATAAAACAAGCATTCAGCAGATAGAAAAAAAACAAAACTGCTAAAATGGCCATTAAAATAACTGAGGTAACTGAATGTTTATCTAATGCATCATTTCATTTTGGTTCCACCAGAGGCCGGAGCTCTGTAACTCCCTCGTTTTAACATCTTGAACTTTGATGTAGAAAACAGAGACATTATTCAGATACTTAAATAGATGGAAAAAAAAATCCCTTTCCTGTTGACTCTCAACCATAAAAGACATTTTGCACGTATTTTCCAGGTTATGATTACTAAATAGAATGTGCCAGATGCTTTAAAATAGACGAAAAAAAAAATATATCCTCACTTTTGAAAATCCGATCGGTAAGCAAAAACGTATGGTCATATTCTGCAAACGAGGAATAACCAGACAAACTAAACAGGATTTATTCCACACACAGCCCATGACGGTGTTTCAAACGATGGTACAGGATCATTTAAAGGCTTATTTAATAACATGGTACAAATAACTTCAAGGCTCTGTAATCTGCAGAAACCAGTAAGATATTATCTTTGATCTGTTTAGTAATAGTTATTCTAAAAAAAAAAAACATATGCTAAAAATGTTCAATTTTTTTCATGCAGTTAGTTCATGATTACCCCGTATTATATTGCAATTGCTACTGAAGACCGGGACTAAAAATCTTTGAGTCAATTCTTTAGGGCTGTTAGACTTGGCCCTTGGCCTATGTCTGAACCCCACCTGGAAACCTGTCCCTTCCAATGCCAGGGCTTGCACTACAACCCGATCGGTGCTGAAAATTGGAGAGATTACAGATACAACTTTTCATTTCATGTCATTTGCTACTCTACTATTCTTTCTCATTGCATGTCTCATTCCTCATTGGCCTACTTTTATAGAGGCTATACCCTTGTCAGTCTATCATAACTGTTGCTACCAGTCTTATCCATCTTACCAACTATTCAGTATCCTCCATTCCTCTACTAATAACAGCATCCTAAGCCTCCTCCCCGAGCTACATCGCCAACCTTGTCTCAAAGTATCACCCAAAATCTCCTCTTGGTTCCTTCCAAGACCTCTTGATCTACAACTTCCTTCTCACTTCTCCAGAGCCTCTCCCATCTGGAATTCCTTACCACAATCTGTTCAGCTATCTCCTGTTTTGTCCATCTCTAGGTGATTCCTGAAAACTAAGTTCTTCTGGGAAGTCTATCCCACATCTACCTAAAAACTGGCCTTTACTTTGTCCATCCATCAACTCATCCCTCACAGTTATTTCCGTTTGTCACAATCATATATTCCACAGTCCAGTTCCAGGTCTTCTCCCCTGCACATGGCCTCTGGCTTCCAGATTTGACCAATGCTGCAGCCAATATCATACTGGACATTGTCTTAACGGGCTAGCTGGCCAATTGTATGGTGTTAGAGCAAAGCATTTAACATCGTTAACTGTCTCCCTGTGACTGTCTCCCTGTGTCCAGCACCCCTGCAACATTGGTGTCGCCTGTGACCCCCTACTGCTTTTGTGTTTCCCAGTGTTCCAGAATTCCTACTTCCAAGCACCTGTGATCTCCATGCAACCTTCATCTATCTGGGGCTCAACAAGAACACTTCCTATCCAAAACTTTTCCAAAGTTTTGATTATAGATACACTTTAACTGCACTAGGCAAATAAATAGTCCAAGAGTGCTTTTTGCTTTCGGTTATCAGCCACACATTATATCTTTTAGGTTTTGTAGTCTTCCCTAATGTATTTGTAAATGTATTAAAAATTAGATATGTGCCGAACAAAAAAATGCATTTTGTTTTTCATTTTGGATCGATTTGTCAGGTGACTTATTTCATTTCAATGCATTTGTAGTGAAATGTATTTCATTTTATTTATTTGGTTTTTTACCGGGTTCAAATTTTTTCTATTCTTTTATTTGCTATTCTATTCCTTTATTTTCTATTCTGTTTTATTCTTTCCTATTCTGTTTTATTCTATTCTAATCTTTTCTAAATTAAAATTTCAGAAGACGGCTATATTCTTTCTATTCTATGCTATTCTATTCTACTCTTTTCTATTCCTTTATTTTCTATTGCATTTTATTCTAATATTTCTAATATTCTTTATTTTATTTTCTATTCTATTCTGTTTTATTCTATTCTATTCTTTTTTAAATTTGTAACCAGAAGAAGGCTATATCCTAACACTAATACATATAGTCTTTGAAAGAAATCAGCAATAGCCAACAATATGTTTATGTTTCAAATTTGTTGCACTATTCCTTTATTTTCTATTCTGTTTTATTCTTTCCTATTCTGTTTTATTCTATTCTAATCTTTTCTAAATTAAAATTTCAGAAGACGGCTATATTCTTTCTATTCTATGCTATTCTATTCTACTCTTTTCTATTCCTTTATTTTCTATTGCATTTTATTCTAATATTTCTAATATTCTTTATTTTATTTTCTATTCTATTCTGTTTTATTCTATTCTATTCTTTTTTAAATTTGTAATCAGAAGAAGGCTATATCCTAACACTAATACATATAGTCTTTGAAAGAAATCAGCAATAGCCAACAATATGTTTATGTTTCAAATTTGTTTTCAAATTCGATTCACACTTGATTCAAATTCAATTCAAATTTCGAACGAAATTTAATTGTGTTATTTCGGATACATTTAAATGTTTTGCTATTGTAATTTGGAAATTTGGATACATTTGAATTTCCGAATAACAAAAAATTTGTCTGAATTTCGATTCGAAACAAGACGAACTTGATATTTTTACTGCAAAATATGATCAACAAATTCTGATTGTTACAATGACGTCACATTAGAGTGATTTTTATGTAATATAGTGGAGTGGTAAAGCCAATGTGTGCAGTTTACTTTAGGAAAGCATTATTCCATACACTACCCTATTTTCTACACTACATTGTGATGCATGCAGGGAAAAAACTATTTACATAAATTGTTAGCATGATATTAGGATAATAATAAAGCAGAACTTCACTCTCTCCATCAACATTTACTATTTTTAATCCTTATGCTGCTAGCAGTCCTAAATAGATAGGAAACTGTATCATTTTGACTTGTTTTGAACTTTTTTTTTACATTTCGTCCTGGTTTCCAGGCCTAGGCAAATGATGTCATACATCCCAGGAGTCTTCAGGAGGGGAGGAGGGGTTTTCTCAGCTAAGCACATCCTCCTGCCTGCAAGCCTGAGCTAAGGGTAAATGGATTCCAGGAAGTAAATGCTACATGAATCATCTGCCCTTACTCAAGATGGCAACAGCCAGAAATGCTAGGGGGCGTTTTTCAAAGTGATTTCTCAGTAAAATGAAGTATGGAGACATGGATGGATGGGGGAGTTTGCTTTGAATATTAAAAATGAATTAAATTGTGTTTTTGCTTTTTGGTGCTCAGATGCAATTAGTTCCACTTTAAGTCTTTAATTTGAAAAACTGTGAGAAAGCAACCTCTTTATTGCAGAAGAGATGTGCATGCGCAGCTCAGTTTACATTCTGGAACAGATTTTGTATCCTGGGATGACTCAACTACTGTGTCATCCAGTCCCAGCCAATGAAGACGGTGGCATCCTGGCAACTGGAAGAAGTCAGCGACAGCAAGAGACCTTGGGCTGCCGAAGGAGAGTTAAGTATTGCAGACTTTGGTTCCACTTTAAGTCGGGCTAGTGTGGGTATAAATTAGCATGACAGCCATTTTGTCACCAAAAAATTTGAATGACATTGTGTTCATAGAAGATCAGATCCATACTCCCTCATGGAGCTGTACAGCA